ATACAGATAGATCAATAACTAATATCAGAACTGAACAAAGCTCAATGGGCATTGGATGGGTTCAAGTCAACAATAACAATCAAGTGCTTTATAAATTTTCAGCTAAAATCCACTATTAGCTATCAGCTTATAAGGCAGAGCTTTTTTCTATTTTATCAACAATTTCAACTGTACCTTGCAATGCAATACTTCAAATTTATACTGATTCACAATCAGTTATTTCAAAGTTTTATAAACTCTCTACTCAACTTAACAATTCTAATAAATTTTTCAAATTTAATGCATGGCCTTTATGGCACACTTTTATTAATATCATTAAATCTTTTAACTTAAACATCAACTTTTACAAAGTTCAGGCTCATACAGACAATACTTTTAATAATATGACTAATTTCTTAGCAAAACAACATAATTTTTTCTTGCTTCTAATCTTTCAATATACAAATATTTACAATCCTTTTCATATCTTACAATGGGAACAAAATTATGTTAAGCTCTCTACTAGATACTTTATCAAAAATATCTGCAAAGCACATATATTTGCAATGTGGTCATCACAAAAAAGAAACAATGAATGGGCTCATATTAATCATTACATAGACTGGAAATCTACATGGTTATATCTTAATCATAACCAAAAACCTTTATTAAATTTTACTAGCTTTAAGCTTAATCAATTAAAAGTCTTTAAAGTTAAAGCTCTACTTAGTGAACTGCCTATACACTTTTCTTTTTACAACATCTATCCAACTATCTTTATGAATCCCAACTGTTTTTGATGTAATCTTCTTGATTCCTACTCATATTGGCTAATATGCTCTAACCCTTCTCTTATTATAAACATTATTAACTCATCAGTTTAGCATATCTTATCTAAAGCAGATCTTAATTTATTTACTAGTCAGCTATATGAACTTATTCTTAAAATTCAAAAACATCCTTCATTTGACCAAATACCATTTCAAGCAAACTCTTTTCATCTTGATCTTACTCTTAAAAGTCTCATACCCAAAACCCTGATTGAAACAATCTATAATTACAACATATCTACTAAAATAGCCTTACAAACTTTCATTCAAACACTTTTTGATATTAATGATCAAATCTATAACCAAATATGAAAACCTTATTGTATTGAATTCTCTAATTGGAAAAAAACAATAACATTACATCTCTTTAAACTTTTAACAATTACAATACCTCACAACAAACACAAATTAGATATCACAAAAGATCACATACAAACTATACATACTCATGCCTATGTAAAATAGCAGATCAATTACACTTACACCCTAATATCTGCCCACCGATTGGACAGACTATTAGGAAAATTAATATATGGTCAACACTCTAAATTAATCATAGCACATCTTACAATCATATTTTAATATTACAAATCTAGGTGAGTCTTGACTACCATAGTCAGTTTAGGTCACAGATTAAATTGTCTGAGCTTTAATTCTTGCATGTAATTTTTATTTTGTATTTTACAATCTTAGTATATCTTTAATATAGAGTATATTAATATGTACAACTAAAATTACTAATAAAGATATGAGCAAGGCCTCACCTTAATACTAAAAAAAAAAAAAACAAAGAATAGATCAAGAGTAAAATAACTCTTATCTCCATTTCCTTTAGTATAGATTTTCTTCATGTATCTTACATATATGTATAATCAACTAATTAATAAAAGAGATAAAGGATAGACCTTTTATAAAAAATAAAATAAAATAAATTTTGTAATTTTAACAAATTAAATAAATTAAAATTTTTAAATTAAATTATAATTTTGAACTTAGTTATAACAACAAAACTCTAATTAAGCCAAAATAATTTATAAAATATCTATTAAAAACAGTTTGATGATTTTATCTGAGGTATGACATATATATTTTTTTGTGAATAAAGCTAAAATTGAAATTCGTGACCACGATTTAAAAATATAAAGTATACTAAAATTCACTTACATATATCTTTTATTAACAAAACTAATTTTAAATCTTAATCTAACTATCTAATAAAGTTTAGGAAAAATCTATTTTGACCCGGGTCAAAATAACCCGACAGGGGATATTTTTCGTGCTGCATAATATAAACTATTAGACTCCGTATTATATAATATAAAAATATCCTGTCAGGTCATTTTGACCCGGGTCAAAATAACCCGACAGGGGATATTTTTCGTGCTATATAATATAAAAATATCCTGTCAGGTCATTTTGACGAGGGTCAAAATAGAATTTCCCTAAAGTTTATTGAAATATTTAGATTATTCAGCTCAGCCATGACATATATTATTATTTCTGACGTAAAGGTAACGTAATTGTTACATTAACTAATATATAAGTGTTTGACGTTGCATAATGTTTGATAAATATTGTATAAAATCTAAAATAGCAGCATACATACGTACGTGCGTACTTATATGAAGTAACCGTTTTAAATGTCTAAAGTAACACCTAACCGACATCAAAACTTTATGATTTAGATCATCATGCATTAATTCTAGTCAAGTACTACTTTAGAAACCTAAAGAGGTTACTTCTAGATAGTGGATAGGCATCCACACTAGACAAAACAAATCTATAAGTGATGGAAAGAGAAAACCTGTAAATTAATTCACCTCATCATATTCGGCCCCTGAAAAAAGCCGATTCTATGTGATCAATTTTAGAAAGCATTATTCTTTTTTCCACGTCTAATCGTAATTGATTAAAATGATCAATATTAATCATTTTGGGATTAAATTTAAAGGGGTTAGACATGATAAGGTGAATGATAATCAATTACAGGATTTCCATTTCCGACACTCATATATAAAATTAGTGATATGATTGATTATTGATACACCACAGATTATATGAAATCAGTGATTTGATTAATTTACCGAGTTTATGTTTTTAGTTTACATTAACGTAAACTTGAACAAGTAAATGGTTGAAAAAAAGCATTACGAATCAAAAAGATCAGATATGAATAATAAACATGATATAAATGTAGCACAAAGTTAGCATGTGACAAACTATGCACTGGCAGACATTGTCAAAATATTTGTATTAGATAAAATACGTTCATAAGAACCACCTTAAGCACACTTAGACACTCTCGGCATTAATAACCTTTAACAATTTGAATAAGTATACTCGTTTACCAACGTAGCATAATCATACAATAAGTATTTATAATTCGGTTATCCTCTCAGAAACATTTAGAAACCTTACTATATCTCGAACTTTATCAAAGAAAAGTTACGTTAATTACTTAGAGTACATAATTCAAAAATATCTTATTATTAAACTAAGATTTGACAAGTTAAAGTCGAAAATTTTATTGGAAACAATAAGGCTTGTATATTTTATTGGAAATAATAAAGCTTATATATTTTATGATTATTGAAATTAAAAAAAGGAAGTTTACAATAATGAAATAATGAAATAGTTTTTCATTCACTTAACAAGAACATTACAAGAACATTACAAGAGCATTACAAGAGCATTAACAAGAACATTACAGGAAAATTACTAGAATAGAAACTTATAAAGAATTGAAGAGACGCTATGTACATGATTCAAAGTTTTTAAAAATCCAGTTTCTAAATTAAGCATCGTTGATTTATTTATAATTTAATAGACTTGACCCTAGCGCTAGTACGTATAAGTATATTGCGGTTCAGGGAATGGCTATTGAACATTGTGGAACCTGAATGTAGTACAAAAAGCATTCGAATTACATATGCAATCGAATTGTTTGGTAACCAAATAATGTACAACACTATGAACGTATTAAAATAGGTATAGATAAGAAAATGTACATTTTTAACATATCGATATAGTTAACTATAAAAATTATAGTTTTAAGGCTATGCAAATATAGTATTACTGATCAGGGATTGCTTTCTTATTGAATGAATATATTGAATGATTATAAATTAATCTTATTGGTTTAAACTAAAAAAACAAACCTCAATACATAATGAGATTTTAATATCGATATAAATAAGCGAATTATCCGTTAATTATATTTGTACGTAGTTATCATTGTTTGCCATTTATATATCACTCCTTTTTTTTTTTGCTTTTGATGGCACACATATATATTTATTTATATATTATTTAAACCGACGCTTGGTCGAAGCTCTTTAATCTATTACTTTACAAAAACATTATGATTAATGGTTTCTATCAGTCCAGTAACAAAGGAACAATTCGCCTCTATAAGTAAATCATGTGTTCCTCTGAATGTCATTTCTCTCATTTCCACTATTACTTCATGCATGACCTTTGGTTTCATACGAATATACTATCCTACTCTCGCTGATCGAGTATCATTTCGTTTAAGTTTTACGGCTTTATTCTGTGATATAGGCTATTCTGCTCATCTATTAATTGTTTTATCTTGGGATAATCGTCCTGGATTTTTATGTGGATATACGGTAAGATATTTGATTTTCATCATCAATTTCATCAGTTTCATCAATTTCATCAATTTCTTCATTTTTAATATTTTTATCAACCTTTTTTATTAATTTCTTTTATATACTATACAAGGTCTGGGCAATTGTATTTTTTGGCCTTTCTTCTCTATTCTTTATAGTTTGTATAGCCTTGGTATGTATTATAATTATTTAATTTACCATAGTTTTTACCGCGTTATTTTTTAACTTTTCATTTGTCACCTTATTTATATATATATATATATATTTTAGAACCTTCATATAATATTCATAAATGAATATAAAAGCCGTTATAATTTTGAAAAATATTATTTTATATTTTCGTTTTCTTGTGCCCTTTTACTTTCACTCCTTCCTATAGCCGCCAATATGTATGGTTTTGATGAACCCGAAGAGTATGTATATATATATATATAATATACGAATATAAAGTATATATAAAGTATATTTATACTATATATTTATTTCATATATTTATATCTATCACAGAAGTTGTTGGTATCGTGATTCGGGTCAAAGTTATAATATAGTATGGCAATGGATGACACTTTTCGGTTGGATAGATGCTTCCATTTTATACTGCGCGGTCGTTGTTCTTATGGTCATCGGAAAACTCAGATCTGTAACAAAAAAGATTGATGATGCTTTCAATTCTATACCGACTTCTCAATTATCTAGTTATCCTACCTTACTTAATAAGACTGTGATTTCTTCTGTCGTCAGAAGGGTCATGTGGTATCCTGTGGTGCCATTGATAGCTCAATTTTGTAACTCTTTCGTTGAAACTTACGCTTATGTTAATCGTGTGGTCTATTTTCCTCTATTTTTACTTTGCTACATTGGCATGTCACTTCAAGGTATCAAAAAATTTTATTGTTATATTACTATTATCATTTTATTTATCTAACCTTTATTACATATTTATTATATCTTTATTATATCTTTATTACATTTTAGGATTACTAAATGCTTTAGTATTTTCTCAAGATATTGCCGTTACTCGTGCTTTTCAGGCTGTTAAACTACATTGGTGGATCTACAATGTTAACAGTTATGAGTCTGCCTATCCTCATCTATCTCACAACAAAGCTATTATCGATGAATTCAGCATGCCAGGAAAATCATGTAGTCTTGTTGAATTGAAAACTCTAAATTGCAACAAGACTAATATCATTAAAAACGATCTTTTCAATGATGATAACATTAATGACGATTTTATTAACGACGATTTTATTAATGACAATATTATTAATAACGATAATAATAATAATAATTTTAATAACAGTAATAACGGGATTATTAATGATAATAATGTCAATAATAATTTGGTTTCACAACCTTCCCTTTTAGAGTGGTTAAGATATATGTTATTGATTAAAATTTTCTCGGCTCCAAAAAGTCAATCTAGATTAATTTCACTTGAACTTTTATCACCAGGCACTTCATTTCTTGGAAATAAGCTTACTTCTTCTTTCTTTGAAAAGGATAATTCAAAGGATAATTCAGATAAACCTGATATAAATATTGATCATCAAAATGATGATCAAGATCTTCATTTAGTTCATCCTGAACCTGTTCATTTAAAAGATTCTTTTCAATATCCTCCATTAGATTTATTATCTCATTGTTTAAATTCATCAACCTCATCTGATCCCTTAATAGGTAGTTCTCGAAGTAATCAAACTAATATAAGTAATATAAGTAATACACGTGTTCCATTTAATTCTACTACTACAAATACAATAGAAATACCATCAAATGGTGATGATGATGGACGGATTGATATTATACTTGCTAATGGTGAAAATCATACTAAAACTGCATCTGATGATTTTACACAAGTCTGTAATTTAGATGCCGAAGTTTTTGAAGAAATTGAAACATTTAAACTAATTTTAAAAAGACTATAAAAAAAAAATTTTTTTTAATTTCTTCCATTATTGTAAAAAAAAAAATATATTAATTTCTTACATTTGTAATTAATATTCATAACAAACCTAAAAATTATTTTACAAATAAAAAAAAAAAAACATTTATATATAAATATATATATATCTGATATATATATATATATTATATATATAACTCTGATAAATTGAAAAAAAAATCATTGTTAATTCCATTAATGATATTTAATAATATTAACGTGGTGTTAATGAATCGCAAATTCTTTTTTACAATAATTCACACGTACGTACGTAACGTTTGCAGATCAGAAAATAACGGCTGATCAATTAAAATTTAATATACGTATAAGACACTGGCTGTAATAATAAGGTTTTTAATTGTAAATTTACGTTTATACCTGCCTATTTTTAATTATAAACTCTATCTTGCAAAATTTCACGTGTCTACTTTGTCAGATTACATGTTACATAAGTATGTACTTATCAGTTATGTAAGTACAGTATACTAATGTATATGTATACCATATTTTAATTGCTGTCATTATGCTTTATTATGCTTTACGTACAATAATTGGTGCAGTCGTAAGATAAAATAATTCTAATTCACGTAGATCTCCAAATTTATGATTGGATATATTAAACTTGATTTCAAATTTTCAATAACTAATTCGCTGTGAAAATTCTTATTACTAATTTTGTTTGACAGAATATGCATAATCTCTGAAGTAAAAAAAAAAAAACCTTTCTAAAATTCAAAATTGGAAATTTTCTCACTTGACAATTAATTCTTTTTTCCGTGATCCGTTACATGACTATATAAGCTATATAAATCACAAAGTTCATGGCGTCATTCCTCGTGCATATTTTATTGGATGGTAACGGTACTGGCACAATATTGTTCCGTTTGTTTGTTTTATCAACAAAATGCAAATACTGTCCAGTACCTGTACAATGCTTGTGTCACTTATTTACTTATCTGCATAAAATATGTACGTATGTGATGAGACTATCATGACTATCATTATCATTATTACTATCATCGCTTTTTTATGTAAATGTAGGTAGGCAGGTACGAACGTGCGTCTATATGTTAACGTCAGCAGTTGAATTTCATACGTAGAGGTGTCCCCGTAGTATATTTCTGCAGTGTTCCAATACCAGTTAAGATCAACAGGAGGATCATCGATGTTACACGGCAGATCCTTCACCCGGCGTGTAACATAAAAAATTATTTTACTAACTAGTTCATTAGATCATTTCATCAACCATCATTTTATTATAATAACCATAACATGTACTAGCAGAATGATCTAGTACTGTAAAATAATTTAATTATATGTTACACACCAGGTGAAGGATCTGTCGCTGCGCGGCTAGCTAATGACTTGTTAATATTTTTTTGCTATTGCAGTATTATATGAATGACTTAGCTGCCGCACTAATCTTATCATGTCATATTCTCAATTTTGATTGGCTAACCGCCGTGATTTACAAAATTTTGGCCTGTATTATATAATTGTTTACATAGTCTTTGGTCAGGATTAAATTTTTTTGTGAATTCATTGCCGCATTAACCAGACGATCCTATTGTATCGGCTGGCTTAAAACACTAGTTACGATCACATAAATGTGTAACATAAAATGTGAGAGGGATGGTTTTTTGCAAAATCTTTTTGGAAAAGCTACGGACACAATATTCACGTGACTTACCACTTACCGCAAACTACCCCAGCATACCCCATAAAAAGAGTAAGTCTACGGACACCTACCAGATCATGTGATTTGCACCTACCGATCACGTGACCCATCACCTACTGAATATGCATGTGATTTAACCTACTATACTCATATTGAGTAACCATCTCAGAAATATTACAGTTACACGAAATCTATTAGCGTACTGTATATCAAATTTTAAAAAAGCCTAACTAAAAATGTTTATATTATAGGTTAAACTAACCTTATTATTTCTTATAATATCTTATTTAATGTTATATTATCTTACAAGCCCTTATTAATAGTCTTATTGTTGTGTAAAGAAAGGTGTTAAATTAGATATTGTCATCTTGGAAATCGGCAAGTCTGTCACTAAACTAAGCCAACTCTCATGTAACCTACAACAACTAAGTTGAAACAGGCATGTTAGATTTGGTGAGTGGATTATCATTCATAGGTAAGTACTAGTCCCTTCTCTTGAGTTTTTCCTTCAACCTACTCTTCTTCTAATTTCTTATATTCTTCTCTTGTCTCAACCAGGATTTCATTACATCGAATCAGGGTTGGAACTCTTCTCTATCATTCATTATGGTTTACTCAGCACATGACTAGGCGAGCAATCAATTATGGGTTTAGTTTATTGTTGGGGTTAATGGATATTGTTAATAACAGGATTTACAATAATAACTGATTGTAAGATCACACTTTCACTTGTACTATGGATCGGGTAGTTAGTTTTTATTTTGCAATTGTAATCACTGGTCTTTTTGTTTGGGTGAATTGCCCTTTATTTATAATAAACATTTTTGTCTATTGACATTATGAGATTGTCTAATATATCAAACATATCTAATATATCGTATATATCTAATTTATCATATATATCATATTTATTTAATATATCATACTTATGTGATATAACAGATATATTAGATATATTAGACATATTTGATATATCTGACATACCTGACATTTCTGATATGTGGGATCTTTGTCACGTACACCAATCATGTTTTTGGGTCTCACAATATAACATGTTAAAAATATGATCATATAGTATAATAAGTCAAAAAGCAGTTAGAAGAAGATTAGATTAAATATGCTATTGATATAAAGATGAAACATCTAGCTAAGTTGTAAATAATACTAAGAGAATTTATATTTTTAGAAAAATATATATGACTTTGTGATTTGCTTCTAATAAAGTTGACTTTTGTAAATTGGCAAATATATTGAGTTTAATATCAATTGAATATTTACTTATTTGATTGTTTTTTGAAAATAATAATTACAATAAAATCGAACAAGCTTTTTTATTTAGAATACATCTTACGGACAAGCTTTTTATTTAGAATACATCTTGCACAAAACTTGAATCTAAGTAACAACTAAATTATTATACATTAATTACTTTCGTATCTGCATTACACAATTATTGATCACATTATTCCTCTTTACAATCATAAATTGCTATATGTAAGACCCAGGTCTCTTACATTTTACCAAATAAATTAATTAGTAAAAAAAGAAAATAATCAATAAAAATAAGAGTGGATCTTGTATATAGTAGTTTACAGTAATATTACATATATTTTATTCTATACTAGGTAATTATTATTCATACAACAAATTTATAATCAACAACTATAATATATATAGGTCTTCTAAAATCTGGTTTTACAGAAAATAAATTAGTTAGTCTTTAAGCATTGATGTTTTTATTGTGTAATAATACTTATCTTTAATGCAATTCTGTTCTGTAGTTTATTAAAATCCAATCCATATTTTATCAACTTTTTGTTTAATTAAATACAGAATTAATGATTAACTTAAATCTATAGTAATACTGAAAGTAGGTTGGTTTTTTAGATCATTCTCTTTTTTAAAAGCCTTTAAAAATTGAACAATTCTTGTTTTGAACAATTTTGCCCATATTTTATTTTTGTCAAAGAATATATTTTGTCATTCTTGAACAATTACTAGAACAGGTGCATTTAACTTCAAATTTATAGCAAGATAGTAGTTTTATTTATGAATAAATGCAAAGATAATTAATTGGTTTCTATTTAATGGAATATTGTTTGGCAAAAAAGTCAAGCATAGATGTTTACTAAAGTAATGAACTGGTCTTTCGAATGCATTTGCAATAAGGTACCCAAAAGATGGCATTAGCATCCAGTAGTCAATATTGCAAAGACCATTTTTCTATTGTGTAATTGTAACAATTTTGCTATACTCAATTTTATCTTTAAGAAATAGGTTAATATAATAATCTTTTCAATTAACTAACTCATTAAAAATAGCTCATTATATAGTTGGCCACTCATTTTTAGGCATTCCAAGTGATTTAGCTACTGTATAAAAACTACAGTTACTATCAACACAAACATCCATATAGCTTATAATGTATTCTTCTATAAATTTTGGAATGCTATCTTTAACCAAATTAATATCTTGAAAATAGGTAGCAGATAAAGAATACAAAATATTATATTGATTTTGATTTTATTTAGATTGTAGCTCCAAATTAAAAGAAGCTTGATATTTGGTATTTTTGATTTTTATAATATTATTCTATAATTTTCGCTTTTTTTTTACCTTTAATTCTTGTTTTTCACTTTTAAGTTTTTCATGTTTTACTCCTAATGAACAACCTTTTGGTACTGTTATCTTTGGAACCTTTATAGGCTCTAAAAGTGGTTTTGTAATTGCTTGATATATGTGTTTAATAAATTCTGTTTACATAGAAGCATTATTTGGAAGTTTTTTAAAATGCATCTTTAGCTTCAAGAAATACCTTGTAACTTCTGGATCAGTGGCTGGTATTATTAAAGCTGGATATAAAAGGAATTTAATTTCAGATCTATGAAGATGCCAATGTTTGCTATAATGTTTAAGAGAATTGAACCTTCTTTAGGAATTATATGATGACATAGAAGCTTATAGTTAATTTTAATAAGACATTGACAAGATGTTATATCTTTAGATATTTTGGGGTTTTTTTCAACTTTAGTTAATGTTCTTTTTATACTATTAATCATATATATTGATATATTGCCAATAAGTATACTAAAGTAAGGATTATATAGAGTAAATAGGTCATATGAAATCTTGTTAGCACCTATATGCATAGCTAATTTGAGATGTTGCATTCTTATTCTCTAATCAATTTTTTCAAAAACCAAATTCAAGTCACTGGCAGTTTCAATTGCTCGCTTGAAAGCACTATATGACATTTTAGCACAAGCAGTAGTTGAGATGCCCATATGACAGAAATACTTTGTATCTGCATATATCCATAATTTTGAATCTTTCATTAAAGATTTAACATAGGCTAGAGGCTTTTTTGGATTACATGCTTTTTTTGCAACTTGCTTAACAGATTCTATTGCTAATTCTATGTTCTTTTTATCAAAAGTGAGATCCAAAGCTTTAACTTTATTTTTAAATACTTCATAATTGTCATCGCTATCAAAAAGTCTACAGCAGTTGGTCTTAAGGTTTTGTTCTATTATATGCCAGGTACAAAGCATTTTATCTACTTCTGAAAAAACTTAGAAGCATTTCTAAGTGATTGATCTCTGTTAGACATGAACACACTTGGAAGACAGTTATAAACATTATATACTTTGTTATAAAGTATTGTTAAAAACCAAATATATAAATTTTTACATTCATTTTCCATCCATGCTATTGCAATCTGAAATGATTTTAAAGAGCCCATTTCATTTACAACATTGCTTATTCCAACCACACTTACAAGAGAGAACTTGTAAATATTATTTTATATATCGAATTGATAACTAAAACCTCAGAACACTTGGCAACATGCTTTGCCACCTCAATATGTAAAAAAAATAAATAAATTAAGTGTCCATTAAGTGTTTTTAAAAGTGCTAACATATAATCACATTGTTGCAAAAGGTGCAAAAGCTTTTGAGAAAGTCTACATTATAACCTTCATTAAGTGCATATCTAATTCATACATGTTCATTTATTATATCTTTTGGCATAATAATGCCACTGTCACTAAGCTGGTTAATAGCAGAAGCAATGACACATGTGGGTGCACTACTGCTATGCAACTCATACAAAAGTTTTTTTGGTTTATACTTAAACTTTGGTGTTGATGAAGGCTTACTATTTTATTTAATTAAGCAGTGAATAATCATGAATATATTTAGTTTTTGTTACAATCCATTGTTGTTTAACAGCAATAGCCCTTAAATAAACAGAACAGCAGCTTCACTTTGTTTTTAATTTTTGTTTATGGGACTCAGAACTGAGGTTCCAATTATTATACCATTCCCTATCCTTTGTGTATTGCAAAATGACATATAGTAATTTACTATTGCATTCTTCTAAGTTACTATTATGTCTTGATAAAGCAAAGCCTTAATTTTTAGCAGCAGTTTGAGTGGCTTCCTCTAATGCCTCTAAAGTCAGAAATGTATCATTTACTTTGAGCAACATAATAATTTAAAGTAATATTAAAAATGCTATATATAAAACAGCATGCTATACTTTATTTAGTTATATATATATTAAAAAACACGTTATGCTCTTATATATGTATGCACTTATATATTAATATCTAATAGTTTGTATAACTGTAATATTTTTGAGATAGTTACTTAATGTGTATATAGTAGATTAAATCATATGCATATTCAGTAGGTGTGAGTCACATGATCAGTATGTACAAATTATATGATTTGGTAGATGTTCATAGACTTACTTCTATAAAAATTCACATTTCATGTAATTCACTTGCCAACCATGTTTTAAAAAAGTGAAATACAAAATATTTGTTTTATTTTAATAAGCAATTATAGAATTCTTTTCTAAAACAAATTCTATTGCACATATTAATAATTATGCATTTAGTCTAATAAATAGATATATGTTATGCTAGTACATTTTGGTGAAAATTAAGAAATATATGCAAATAACATTAACTAAAATAAAAAAATCCTGAAGTATATCTATATTATAACATTAATTTAAATATTGAGTATTGTGTATATGTCCAGCTTATATTAATGGCATAGTTTTTTTTCAATAATAACTTTCAATATAATAAACCATAGTATTGATTACATTAAAGTTTTTTTGAATATTTTTTACCTCACTTAATATTTTTCATATTCTTGTGTTCTTTAAGAATATCTAGTGCATTTTAAGTTGTAGTAATTAATTAATCACAAAATATATCATAATCTTCATGATCTTCAAATAACTTTTCTTGAACTGTATTATTGATAGAATATAAAATTGAAGATTCTAATTTATTTTCTTTATCTTCAGTATTCTCAGTGTTTTATTAATTAAATACAAATAGATAAGAATTGTTTCTTTTTACATTATCAAAGAATTGTATAGAGCAGTTTCTTTGCAAAATACTAAATGTTTATATAAAAAAAACTAATTTGTTAAAAAATATAAGCAACTACAAGTCCATTGTTTAATATTAATTAAATATTGATTATTTGTAGATATTTTATTGTCTAATTATTTCCATTTAGCTTTAAATTTTTTTGCCAATTAGATTTTTCTTTTTTAACTAAAATCTGATCAAATTTTGGTTTTTCATATAGTATTAATTTTTTGATAATAATATAAATAATAAGATCAAGTCAAGAATAAAAAATTTGTAAAGAAAATCTCATTTAATCACTTTTCAATAAAATTCAATAAACATAGTTGTTTTTAAAACTGATATTTTCTCACTAGATTCAGCTCTTATCTATAAATTCTAATGATTATTACAATGCCATTCTTTTTAAAGATACATCTAAAAAAAAGGTAAATTATTTTGATAACAAAGCTTATACATTTCTTTTACAGATTATTCTCAAATTTATTTACATGATAATAATAAATTTGCTGTTAGTATTAGTAGGTGAAGATGTAAATAATGGTCTATTAAATTCTATACAGATTTTCATAATTTCTTTAAACAAAAAATTGTACCATTTGGAATTAGATAACATAGAATAAAATTTTTATTAATAAAAGAAAACTAAGTTTGAAATATTAAATGTTTATAAGTATAATATTGTAGAATTTTATTTGATGATAATTATGTATCAATTGTTTTTTGAACATGCTATCAATATAATTGAATTTTTGATAGTGGCCAAATGATTTTTGTAGCTAAAATTTGCAAAAAATCTTTATCATTTAAGATAAATTCTGAAGTTAAACTTTGTAATTTTATTTTTTGAAAAAATTCTATAATAATTTCATATTAATTGTACTAAGATTATTATTTGTTTCTATAAAAAGATAAGTGAGTAGATATTCAGCACTATAAACCTCTGCCATTAATACATAAAGTTCAAATTCTTGATTATTGGTATTATTTACAAATTCATATATTATTTAAATATAATATTGTATATAATAATAATAATAATAATAATAATAATAATAATAATAATAATAATAATAATAATAATAATAATAATAATAATA